TTTTACTATATATTTATTTTATTTTAAAATTATATTTAAAAATTTTATAAGTTTATTCCTGTGCATTATTGCACAGGGTTACAACTAGTCAATTAATAAAGATAATGCAACATACACCTTACCATATTGTCGCAAAATAATGTGCAGGGGTGAAATTACAAATTTCGGCCTAAATTAAGCTTAATTCAGGCCAAACCTCTAAATAACGCCCACAGGTTTTGATTAGTTAGTTGTCACATGATCTTAAATGTAACTCACGCGTTTGTACGTATGACAGACAGGGCTTAACCCACTATATTGATTTGCCAGCCATTCGAAAGTACCATTCTTGATCTATAGTAGATTAGATAGTAATTGACCGGTATAGTAAACAATAAGATGTACAATATACTAATTTTGATGAATCAAAAAGAACACTTTGAACAATAGCAATGGTGCAGTAAATGGCTGGCAAATTAATATAGTGGGTTAAGCCCTGATGATCTCAAATTAGCCAAATAATATAATTAAGGTTTCAAAGTTAAAATCAGAGAATCTTGGCTCAAAAAATAATCTTTGTTACAAACGTGCACTTTGTCCTAATTTTTGTAATCTGTCAAAAGAGAATGCACTATCGAAAAGAAGATCATTAAGGGTACGACCCTTGATACACCTACAAATGTAAGACCTGTTGCAAATTTTTTATTTCTAATATTTATGATAATGTCAAACCTTGTAATTTATGAATTGTAATTGCCCAGGCAAGACATAATGTGAGAGCAAATACCAGATTTTCCCTCCCAAGTGTATTTGATAGGTCGAATTGGTACTACTTGATTGCTGTTTATTGTAAATCCAATTCAGTATCATTCTATAGCCGTGCAATACCAAAGATAAGTTTCTCATACTATGTGTAAGAGTATGTAAATTAATTTATTAATTAGAACGAAAACTGACTTTCCCATATGTTACTATATAATTTTTAATTAAACATTCAATTAATCATCTCATCCATCATTACTTATTACACCATATCGATCGCCCAGAGACATTATTACTACAATTTCGACTATCACTATAACTTCCACTTTAATAGGCCAATATTTCGTTTCTTATTTATTTTAACGAATTTCTTCATCTCGTACCAAATACCGTATTTTCGTGTAATAACACACAGGGGTGTAATTTCAATTTTGGCCAAAATTAAGCTTAATTCGGGCTATTATTCGAAATGACGCTCATGGGCGCTATTACGCGAAAATACGATAGTTAATTTTATCTAATGTGCTTGAGATCAAAAATACATATTTATTTGATTTATGCGTTTGTATAAAGATTCTTTTTACCCCATGTATTTTAAAAGTCAACTGCAAAATTTTATTTAATTTAATTTTATTTGTTCTTATTCAATGTGTTTGCTAAAAAAATTTTCATTGTTATTTTTGTTACAATGATTTTAAAGTTAGCAGCTACATTTTAAATTAACGTTTTATATCCAAAATCGAACCTAATTTTAGGTTCAATTTTCGGATTCCGAACCTAAATCAGGACCAGCTGAACCGGGAACCGGACATTTCTAAAAAATCGTAGAGTATGGCTTTAAGGCCTCCACTTCATTTCCCTCAGCTCCAGCCAATTATTGTCACAGAATCATGAGGATGTAAGTATTAACAAACATGAAGAACAGATTATCCATTCAAATTTCATTTTAAAAGAGATGATCGCGAAATTGGAAAATTAAGAAAAGGAATTGATTTTTTTTCTGTCCAAAGATCAGATGGGGATCGTCTAAAGCCAGGTAGTAATTTATATGCATCACGTGAATTTTAAATTACAAATTTGTTAGTAATCAATTTAAAAAACTACCTGGCTTTAGACGACCTCCAAAGGTAGTCAAAACAGCCATCTCAGTGAAAGTCAAGGACGGGTGTACAAAAGTGTTATAAAGTATTATGTAAAATCGAAATTGCTAATTATTATAATATTTTATATTAATGTGGTAATGTTAATAATAATATAAATAAATAAAAGATCATGCAGTTCCATTTTGACTCTAGCGGTTATAAAAACGTAAATTGTTTATTAATGTATATTTTTAAAGTAATTGAGAATTTTTGTATCAGTTCTGGGCTTAGTTTTTATTTTAATAAATTCATATAATAAAATCTAAGAATGACCAAAAATGATCAGTATTATTTCTGTCTGAAGCCCTGTCAATTTTCTTCTTATTTGGAATTTTAGATACTTAAATTTCAAATCGTATCAAAAATTAGAGTACTTTAAAAGCTGTGTAAATTAAGCCAACCCATAAAAAAACGTAGCTGATGTAGTCCGTCCCAGTCCCTATAAGACCGATTTTATAATGTTTATTAGTCCTCGGTCTCACTTATAATTTTTCAATGCATAACATTAAAACTTTTACTTATTAGCGGCCAAATTTTTAAAATTTATATTATAAAAATTACAGCACATCAAATTTATATTATAAAAAATACAATACACATTAAATTTATATTTAAAAAAAATACAGCAACGTAAATATGTATATGTATTTTATATTTGAAGCTAATTTACAGTATATAAAAAATGAACACAGGGATGTTTAACTAAGCCAACCCTTTAACCATAGAATCGCTCTTCTTCTAATCTAGCCCTTGTATTTTTTTTATTTTTTTTGGTCGGCAATTTTATTAAGGTTTGAAACATCAACATTTATTTCATTAGAAATTAGAACTTCGACGCTTATTTTATCACATTGAAAGATGGAAGCAAGAAATTTCTGTTATCGTTCATAGTTAGAAAGGAATTTTATTATTATTATTATTATTTGCATTGTTTTCTTTATCGGCTTTTTTATCAGTAGTATTATTCATCGTTAGACCATAATCAGGACCAGGACCGGACGATTCCAGATCGAGGACTGAGAATTATTCGGTCCTCAGTCTTTTACCGTCCGGTCCCGATCTTTACGAAGACCGATCCCATCACTGATGCGTGAAATTTGAGTTCCGATAATTAAGCAAGTCATAATTTTTAATAAGCAAAAAAAAAAACATGTGGCCTAAAAAATAACAGATCAGATCCACTAATACTAATTGATCTGAGGTAAGAATTATCGTGCAATTCTTTATATACGTTAATAATTAAACAATATGAACCGATAACTGATGCGAAATCAGGTGTATCCCGTTATCGAAATTTATTTCATGTAAACACCAGGTTATCTGTATAATTCAAGCCAATATATAAACTTTATGAACCGATTTCATACATATAAACTAACTTCATTCTATATTAACGGTGATTCTGAATCACCAGGGCACGGAGATCTAGGGGAAGAAGGTTGATATTCGCTAATTTCTTGCTTTTTTGGAGGGTCTTTTTGGGGCGTATCTTTCACTGAAGTTGTGAAAATATGAATATTTTCTTTTGTTTGAATTGATTTGTTAACCGATCTAACTGTTGATAGTATATCCGCCTGTAATAGTAAAAATAAAGATATAATATCTGATGATGCATATAAATATACATTAACCACAGTACCTGAAAATTCATTAATTCGGTAAATTTCTCAGCAAAAGCTTCAAACTCGTCAAAACTTTCTGGTATTTTAATTTCTGTGAACTTATCGAGAATATATACACCTGGAAGTGGCCGCATCAGATATTCAACCTTTATATAACCGTCTATAAAAACCGCTAGCTTCAGAAAACTAATATACAAAATGCAAAATTTTCAAAATGATTATGATACTATTACTTACTGGCGCTTTGGATCAAATAAATTCGTGCCTTTTCTTTTGAAACAGATTGCAGCAAACAATTTAAATTTCTCATTGCATTCCTGCACAGTTTAACATGATCATCGACTTTCTTAGTCAAAGAAGCCTGAATTCCTTTAGAAAATTCAATAATAGCTATAATTATTCTGCCTTTTCCCCTTTCTATTTTTAATACTCCATCAAATTTGCGCTTTTTTGTGCTAGGTGTTGTTATCTCGATCCTAAATAGGATTAATATAAATTTAATAGCAAAATATAATAAATTAAAAAATTCATGATACAAACCATCCACAATTTATAATATCTTGATGCATCCGAAAAATTCGGTTGATTATATAAATTACAGTATCAATGGCATAGCTTCTTTCTAGTCTTAGTGGTTGATAACTTCTAGGTGCTTCTAATCGTACAGAACTATCGACAAACAGTCAGCAATGATAGAAGATTGATTAACTACACAAAAAAGCTTACCAGTGGGTAAATATGTGTTGTACTATATCGTGTCCTTCATTAAAATATGGGTCGAATCTTCCTTCTACAAAAGTTTTACGAACCAATATGGGAACTTGTGTTCTATTACACATGCCTTCCTTAAATTGTTCAATGTATTGTTTGTAATCGTCACTTGGATTCCAAACTTTTTTCATTAATACCGAATAAAGCCACTCTTGCTGTTCATTGTTCAAATATTTTTCGATTAATTTTTTTATCTCCACATCAGAAAAATCTATTATTTGATTAAGACACACTGAGGTCATATAGGTTTTTCCTAAGTTTACATCGTCTTTTTTTATTAGATTTAAAATTGTAAGCAATTGTCCCCGTATTATTATCTCACCCTAGAAATTTAAGTTGAAGTGAGAACAGACGTTATGTACTGTATAAAAAAGTAATGTTAAAAAAAAATACCTCCGTAAGACATTTAATTTCATTTGCTTCATCGACATCATATGGTACATCTGTATCAGTTTCTTCATAATCGTATTCCAATTCATTATTAGCAGATGTAGGTGAATCTTCAATGTGTTTGATCTGAATAACACATACAAAAGCAAGAATGTGAGAAACATTCATTGTAGGATTATCTGTTTGCTCAATTCATTACTAACCTTCTTAGTACAATCGTTATTCACCAACTCTGGTGGACGTTTTCCAGCACCCTTCTGCAGTAAAGTAAATAATAATGATGACAATTTGTTCTCACTGGTCCTTCACAATCTCGCACATTCTTACCAAAGTTATATCAACTCTTTCAATAGCGCTTTGAAGTACCGTTGTAGTACTATTCATTACAGAACAGGCAGCGCCAATCTATAATTATGAGAACATCAATATGGATAAGAAATTGAAATGTTTAATCTTTTCAAGAAACTAACCTCCGCCAAGTGTAGTTCTTTTTCCTTAGTTTTGATTGTAGTATCGACGAGATTATTCTCAATCTTATCCCAAGTACATCAACATCTTTGCAGTGGCCGCGATGGCCCTAATTAAGTAAACAAATTAGTGTATCAACTTCTATTAAAGTTTCTGCTGTTATATCTGTACAATGCAGACCACAACGGACACGTAAGACCATAAATTGGGTAACACGTAAGATGCCCAACGTAGTTGTGTGAGTTTTACCCCTTCTCAGGACTACTAAAAGTCTCCTATACTGCATCTTGGCAGACCACAACGGACACGTAAGACCATAAGGTGAGTAACACGTAAGATGCCCACCGTAGTTGCGTGAGTTTTACCCCTTCTCAGGACTACTAGGAGTCTTTTATACTGCCTATTAAAAAGAAAAAAGGATAAAAGGATAAAAACTTGCCTCAAAGCTTTGCTTTAGCCGATTGGCATTATTCTTAGCTTCTTTTGAACCATTCAATATAAGATCTAGACTTTTTCGGAGTATGTTAGCCTCCTTCTGAAAAGAAAACGTGAAATCCTCTTGCCCTTGACGGTATTTATAAAAGTCTAAAAAACGATATTCTTCGGGTGACGTTTTGTCGAAGTAAGTATCCCAGGACATTGTTCGCGTGGAAAAACAACGAATCGATTATCAAACTAGTCACATATTTTGGGGCTTATTAATTATGTGAGGACGAAACCAATTACATCACTGAGTGTAACGTGATGGTCAAAACAAACGCGTTTTGTTTTCTAAGTACTGAAGTAAAAAGTTGCGTATATAAAATTAAAGCCGCGTTATAGTTAGGGTTAGGGTAAGAGTAGGGAACATAGTTAAAATTTTTTTACGTTACACCTGATCCTGAAATTCGATTGGCTAATATTACAGGGGTGGAAAATTTTTTGTGGGATAACTAGGGAGGACCTCGGATAATACTAATAGAGATACGAGGTGGGTTAATAGTAAATTTTCGGGCATTTTGTCCACTTTAAACACTCTAATGTACCCTCTGATTTACAATCCATATAACGATAAGTTTAAAATACGCAAAATTAATGCAAATTTATAATTTTTTATTCGTATTTGTCAATTATAAAAATGTTTGTTTGAACTAATAGCGTAATTATTACTACATCATTACGACATCAAACCAAATTATATACAAGTTACGTAGAACGGTAACATATTTTAAAAATTTTTGTACTCCAACAATTTTTCTTGTACTATTTAATATTACGTGCTCAATCCTTCTACCTTAGATTAAATCAATGCAAGTAAAAAATTAAATAAAAATAAATAAATCAGTAAATACTTCAATTAATAAAAAATTTTATACTTCCAAATAATTGATGTAAATAAGAATTGGCTAGTTTAAATACTTCGATTGATATTATTTAAAACCTTTTCTTGCTCCTGGTATTTTTTTTTTTTTTGAAATTTTGGTTTAAGTAATTATATCCGAACTAATTCAATATAAAGCAAGAAAAAATTAGATGAATTTGATATTTTATATTAAGTGTTTCAATTGATAAATTAGTATATAAAATAATCAATATAATCAATTAATTATTGTGAATAAACAATTAAAACGTAATATAAATAGCTTACCTTAAATACTTTGAATAACAAATAACTATACTGTACATAAATTAAATTGCAAAAAAGTGCATTAGGTCTGATCAAGTAAGATAACAAAATCGGCTTTTCTATTTATTTATTATATTACCTTGTTTAAATCTAATTCACTTTGACTTCAGAATTAACAATAAATCATAACAAACTTTTTGTAAAACATTCATTAAAAAACCTATATAACTCTAAAGCCCTTTCTAAAATAGTTACCAAGTTATATTGCTTATCAACACAAATACATGAAAAATTTAGCACTAATATGACTAAAAATCGTGTGCCCAGAATTAGATATAGGTAAAAAAATATTATTTTGAAGTGACAAAAAACCTTTACTAATAAATATGATAGCAAACCTATATTGACTACATTATCATATGGGGGAGTCAATAGAAAAGGAACAAATTTTTTCTAAGTAAAAGTTTTCTTGACTTTTAGCTTAAATATCTTGGCAATAATCTTATCAAATTTAATAAAAATTTTTTTATTTTAATTCTATAT